TTCCAACTGTTTCTAATAATTAAAACAAAAAGAATAAATTTAATTTTACTCACAAATTAAAGCTTTCCACAAACTAATTATAACATTTTGAAGTATTCCATGTACAATCTTGGGTGATTCCAACACTGAGTGAACTGTATTAACAACTCAAATTAATCTTATTTCAATTTGTTACATAACAATTTCAATGTGAGTTAAAGCAACATAAATAATAAATATCTAATAGGGTATTAAACCATTATATATTACAGATATTTGTAGCACAAATATACACTATTATTGATATTTTTAATATGCACCAATAAAATTGATAATAAATGATATGAAATATTATTACTAAAAATTGCAAAATAACATACAAATGTAATATATATACATATATACACACGTTTAATTAATGATATACACTTTTTAATAGAACATGTGCATATAACTCATTATTAACAAATTTACTGATTTCTTTATATTTAAGTTTTCAACGCAAAGAACGTAATGCGTAGTAGTCCATTACTGGAAAACGATTCATTTCACTCGTTTCACTAATAAGAATGCTTTGAATGATTTTATAGATAACACGTACTTATTCAACTGTGAAATTAACCAATGTGTTGAAAGCTTGATAAACGCATACACAGCTAATTATTCCGCCAATTATAAATGGTTTAGATAAAAAGTTTTAAAAGTATTTGAAGTAAAAATTACGAAATTATGTACATAAATAGAAATTTACAAAGTATAGTTAGTAGTACTTTAAATAATTGTTTCTTGTTTGATATTGTAAATTGTAACAGAAGTAGTTGATGTTTTCGTGGCATTGAAAAATTTCATGCAACTTGTATTCCTTTTATAGATACAATTGCGCTTCTGGTGTTAAAAGCTAATAATTTTCTGTTTTTGAGGAATACGAAAGCATTAGGTAAAGAAATGCTCAAAATTTATATAGAAGTTTTCGCTTGTAACGTGTGAACACGTGATACGTTGAACTTAATAAACGTTGAGAACATTTTATAATAAAGATGTATTTTTATTTGTAAATATGTACATACATACTATGCATTGTTAATATTACTTGAAGGTAAAAACATTAACAATTAACTTTATGATTAACATGTATGCTCAAATTTATTTTTATATATGATATAGGTTAATAGGTAGTGAATAAATGGTACTATATATTCGTTGCATTTGAATCTAAAAAATTGTTAAAATGTTAAGAAGACGAAATGTTAATATTAAAACAGTTAAAGAACTGGATGCATTTCCAAAAGTTCCTGAACCATATATTGACAAAACTGTAGTTGGAGGAACATGTAAGTTTTCTATCATACAGTATACAGATTTATATACTTCTCATTGTAATATATCATTTTTACTTACAGTTTCTATATTTACAATCTGTACTATTGCATACCTCATAATAGCTGAAACAAGTTACTATCTTGACAGTAGATTGCAATTCAAATTTGAACCAGACACAGATATTGATGCAAAATTAAAAATAAATATTGACATAACTGTTGCTATGCCATGTGGTCGTATTGGTGCTGATGTTTTAGATTCTACAAATCAAAATATGATTAGACATGAATCATTAGAACAAGAAGACACATGGTGGGAATTAACACAAGAACAGAGATCTCACTTTGAAGCTTTGAAACATATGAATTCCTACTTAAGAGAAGAATATCATGCAATTCATGAATTATTATGGAAATCTAATCAAGTTACTTTATATAGCGAAATGCCAAAACGGTACCATAAAATATATTATCACATTTCTAAATTATGTACTTTGCATATACGTAATTGTTGTACATATTCTTTTAGAACCCATCAGCCCAGTTATGCACCAAATGCATGCCGTATCCATGGTAGTTTAGATGTTAACAAGGTTGCTGGAAATTTTCATATAACAGCTGGAAAGTCATTATCCATTCCCAGAGGACATATACATATTTCAGCTTTTATGACTGACAGAGACTATAATTTTACTCACAGGATAAATAAGTTTTCATTTGGTGGGCCTAGTCCAGGTATTGTTCATCCATTAGAAGGGGATGAAAAAATAGCTGATAATAGTAAGTTTTTATAGCATGTAAGGTATAGGTATAAACTTAAAAATATTTACAGTTTATTGTAAAAGGAATATATTTTAGATATGATTTTATATCAGTATTTTGTGGAAGTAGTTCCCACAGACATTCAGACTTTACTAAGTAATTCCAAAACTTATCAGTATAGTGTAAAAGATCATCAAAGACCCATTGATCATCAAAAAGGATCTCATGGGAGTCCTGGGATCTTTTTTAAATATGATATGAGTGCACTTAAGATAAAAGTTACTCAACAACGCGACACAGTTTGTCAATTTTTAGTAAAATTATGTGCCACAGTTGGAGGTATTTTTGTTACAGGTGGTAAGTACTGTTTCATTTAATTAATTTATATCTTGTGAAAAATACATTTTACATAGACAATTTTTCAGGACTGGTAAAAAATATTGTTCAGAGTTTTTGGTTCCTTGTGTGCTGCAAATTTTTAACACCCAAAGAAAGCAAAAATGACCAAATATATGTTATTCCACCCATTAACACAGACTATCAAGTGCCTGAAACAGTAAATTTATTGAATGTTTCGGTACCAAAAAATTTGGACATTATGTTTAAACCTCAATAGAAACAATCATTTAACTTATTGTTCAAAAGTTTTGTAAACATTAAAAAAAGAAAAATTAATTAAATTTTTAAACAGATATAATCACAAATAATGCGTTTGTAATCGACTTGTACATACCAATGAAATAAATAATTATTTTATACTTGCTGATTTGTTTTCTTTGTTTTTTCAAAATTTATTTATACCTAAAGCCTATATTTTGCAAACAATATATTTTCGTTTAATGTACACGCGCATTTATGTACCCTAGAATTAAAGTGCATAGTTAATCGAGAAAAGTGGTAAGTGGGAGAAACCCTCCCTCTTCTATTATTCTCCTCCAATAGAATGATTTATTTGAACCGAATATGCAATAAAGAAGTAACAACAAGGTAATCGTCTCTGAATCATAGTAAAAGTTTGATCGAAAGATGACATTTTATTTACATTTGTTAAATCGATGCATTAATGCTTTACGTTGTACGTAATAAAAGCATTGGTCGGTTGAAAATCGTCGCATGCGCTTGACTGAACCATTCGGTAGAACAAAATTTATTTCATTCTTAAACGACATTAAGTAAACGCGAATTATTTAGGAATGGCAGATATTAAACAAGACCATAAAGTTGAGGATACCGATAATTATGGAATGGGCAATAATGCAGAACCGAAAAATATGCAAGAATTGACGGAATATGTGAGTAGAATATAGTTTATTGTTATGACATTTCGTGTTGATGTTTCGATAACGCGTCGACCATTTACATTCACGTTTCTTTTTATTTTTAGGTGCAAACACTATTACAAAATATGCAGGGCAAATTTCAAACGATGTCAGATCAAATTCTTGGAAAAAATATCCTTTTTCATCAATTTTTCACATGACAAAAGTTCCTTAATTAACCTCAAAATTATAACTAAAATACGCGCGGACGTATACATTTTTTTGCGTATATACACAAACCTTTTAACAGGATAGTTTTTATAAATGAAATGCCAATTACTACAAATGTCCTTAATGAGAAATACTAGATGAAATGGGAAATAGAATAGATGATTTAGAAAAGAATATTACAGACTTAATGACACAAGCTGGTGTAGAAGGAGGTGATAAATGATTAT